TAGTTCTTCTTGAGTTTATGAAAATAATCAGATTTAACACCTTGGAGCCCATGCGCGCTGCAGTCTGTTAGCCGTATGGGTCCTTATATCTCAGATTTTGATAAAAAAAAAAAAAAAAAGAGAGAAAGAGAAAAAGTAAGAAAAAAAAAAAAAAAAAAAAAAAAAAAAAAAAAAAAAAATAAAAAAAAAAAAAAATTTTTTTTTTTTTTTTTTTTTCTTTTGTTTTTCATTTCATTACGTTTACTAAGATTTCCTCTGAGTCATTCAATAGGTTTTGCTCCAATTCGCTTGATAAATTCCTAAAAAAAATCCATTGAAGTCGCAAGTGGCCGCAATACCTAAAACGTGCGCAGGTCTCCAACGTGTTAATGAGAGATACTTGCTTAAGGCAAGAATCAGGATTACATTGATGGGTTGATTCCACTCAAATGTGAAAGTAGGGATGAGAGGTGGACCGCCAGTGGAGAAAAAAGGAAAGAAAATCCTGAAATACACAGGAAATACGAGCATTTTGCTCATGCTGTGGAGAAGTTCAAAAGACAGGCAGGGAGATGAGAGATAATGTGAGCGCGGAGAGTGGTAGAGAAGTCCGAGAAGAGAGAGAGCGTAGGCAAGCCTTCATAAAATTGAACAGGAATGCGTTGTTTAGTGGTTCTGGTGTGCGGGGGTATTCCGAAGACATTTAACGAACTTGATTCGATTTCCTGTCCCGATGAAGTAAAATTGTACTGATTTGTGGATGTGATTAATGGAATTGGGGGGAGGGGTAGCAGTGCTGCATCTTATGGTTAGGGCCTCTTAGGGCCTAGAGCCTTGCCCTTGCCAAATCATGCCACCATTTGTGCACACTCTCCGCCTGTGGACCACTGCATTTTTCTTGAGGCAAGGCCTAATTTCGAGCAGAAATGCCTTTAATGAAGACAAATTCGCAAAATGTTGTGGTTACCCGCAAAAAACCCTCTGAGCGATTTTTTCGCAGTGAACATGGTTGCGATGCATCAAGTAACTGGCTGTCGTGGTCGTTATTCCGGCACAACCATTTACAGTAATTTATTGTTAAGATTAGGAACAACGATATCAACTGGTCTACGAAAAACAGGCAAAGTTCCGTACCGTATAGCCAGCAGTCTCCTTTAGGGTTTCGAAATTCAGTTGTTCGTAGTAGATCTCGATGTAAGCGGTGTTCACTCGATAGTACTCCGTACAAGCCGCACTATCATTAAAAATGTCGATGACGGCAGGACAATCAACACCTGAAGGTTTGGATATGGAAATGTAAATTAGGAATGAGTAGAAGAAAAGTGAGAAATTCAGGCTTCCCTACTCAGTTGACTGGTTACTGTAATCCACGGTTACCCAGAGAGGGCAAATTTTAATTTTTTATGTAATTAATAGTGCGGCCAATTAGTTGTCACTCTATTTTTTCAAAGGAGCTCAAAAGAGGGGATAATAAAGGCGTTCTGCTGGTTGGCACAATCACATAAAGCACGGATCATCGAAGATCCATCTGAGCTTCATTGGAAGGACCACCGTAGTCTTTCTTTATAATCTTCTGTTTTTCTTGTTTTAGTGTACACGAATGCGAAAGGATGATTCTCCTTTTTTGAAAGGAGACCATTCTTCTGAGGTTGGGCTCTGAAGATTGGAGTAGTGGATTTGCGTGCTCACAGATCCCATTTTCCTTGCTTATGAAGGGAACTCGATAACTTCCTAAAAGACGCTTAATTTTCTGGGAGAAGTTTACTCTAGTGAGGCCTGAAGCTCAGGACAGTGTAATAAGCAAGCACGGGTCATCCTCGCTAGTGGCAATACAACTTTTGTGGTTACAGAAAAATGCCGCTTTACTGGTGGAGCCCATTTACACAAATAATCATGCCAAAGGAACCCATCTAAAAAGTTGTTGAGGATCTGATTGTCCCAAACTTCGCTGGGTTCCTTTAAACAAGTTGAGCTAATTCGTGCGGATGGTGAAAAATTTCGGAACACGCTTGAAAAATACTCATTCTCCACTCCGGAAACCATAAATGAGGTTAGGTTCAGATCTGTTGCATCGGTACATAAGCCATCTGGCGCTCTGCAAGTGCAGCTCCCTATACATCTGAAAGTAACAAGGCCACAGGTGAGAACGATGAAGAAATATAATATATGCCCGAACCAAGCACACCATAGATTCGAGATGTCCACCTAACTAACGGTATAGACAGCCAGGCCAACCCTTTCCATTGGAAAAACTCGTCT